ACATAGATGCATCCTCAGCACAGAAAGAGGAGACTCAGCTCTCATTGTGCATTGACAAGTAATTAACTCAAATGTTTTTGTGGACATGAAAAGCTAAAAAACCCCTGCATATTCTCAAGGTACATGGGGATGTCATAGCTTAGGTCCTGCCTGTTTGCTTCATGATATTTTTCATCTGTTGGCAGAGGTCATGTAGGAGCAGTCTCCAGGGTGATTTTGTGCAGATCCTTTGTGCCATGCTGAGGTATCTTATCAGAAAATAGATTGTTAGTTAGGGGATGGATGCTATGTAATAACAGGCCATTAGTCATGTCTCTTGGTCCATAATGTGACCTACTTTTGATAAAAATGAATGACAAAAGTGACTGATTTAAGCTGTGATTAACCAAGATATTTTAGGAAAGTGTGAAATATGCACTGGCTTAGCTTTTCTCACTTGCACTAATGAAAATTTCTGAGTGGGCTTCTGTAATGAAGTTGGCCACAAAGTAAAGTTACTTAAGTGTGGGAAGAAAGTTTGTGTGCTTAAAATCCTGCAAGGAAAAAAAAAGGTTTACTAATGTGTGGGATGACATGTAGCTAAAAAATAATAACAACAACAACAACATCATCATCAACAACAACAACAATAATAATAATAATAGTAGTAGTAGTAGTCTAAACTTACTTTGCTAGTTATTGCTGGGTTTGGGATCTGTTAGGACTCTTGCAGATCCTTCCCTCTGATGATGAGTTATTTTAGATGTGCCAGTTTTAAGTGCAGAAGTATAAAACACCCTTTTTCCTCTGTATCAACCACCCTTGTTTTGATTTTGGTTCTGTTGAATGGGTAATCTTATCCTTTTGCAAAAATAATTGGTTAACATGTATCACTTACCTAACACTGTCAATTACTTTTGGACTAGTGTTTCTCAAATTCATAGTCTAGAAGAAACTTTATTTTCTTTTCAGACATTAAAAAGAGTGTGAGTTACATTAATCTAATATTCATTAGCTCTGTTAGCTTAATTTTTGTTTTGTTGGCTTTTCTGGGTTTTTTAGCCCTCTTTGGAAAGCCTTGTTAATTCTTGCAGACCTTTAAGTCTGTTTAAAAATTCCCAAACCTGTAGTCCCTATTTACCTGCTGTGGGCTCTGTTGTGGGTTAAATATCTGCAGAGCTGCTGAGGAACTGTCAGACATGGATTTGCTAAAGGGCAGCTGCTCTGGCCAGCTGGGAAATGGAGATGACCTGCTGGTGTGAAAGCACTACATTTGCATCCTATCAGAGGGCCTACAGGCACATTCCCAGTGCCCCAGATGACTAAAGAGTTCTGGATCTGTGTCTGGCCACATTCAGGGCAAAGACGACATGTTACAAGTGGGGCTGTTTGATTTATAGTAAGAAAAATTAAAGCCTTGGGCTTGGAGGGGGTGGGGTTTAAATGTGGCTTCTGTCTGTGAATGAGGAACCTGCCTTTAAAAAGGGTATTGAATTTTGATTTTAATTCCCTTGTTTGTGTTAGTCTTTCCTTTCTACATCCAGAATAGATGGGGCTATATTCAGCAAAATGTGTTTGTCCTTAAATTTCTGTATAGTTGAATACCAGCTTGCAATTCAGCTGTACTGAAATCCATTGAAAAGGAGATATTGGTGTGGTGTCTGTTCAGATTTCTGTGTTTAACAAAGAAAAGCTGGCAATATACTCAGTTCCACTCTCCTTACTCTTTCACAATAATTGCTCCCTCTTAATTGCAGTACCTTATGCAATAAATGGTCCCATGGGATTCACCAAGACTGTTTAGGGAATTGAATACCACAGTGTTAGCGGAAATGGAAAAAATGAATAGTGCTTTTAAGAAGTGCAGCATTTGGCAAAACACTCAGTTTGTACATGTATCAAACATTAATTCTTTTTTTTTACTTATGAATACATTTAAATTCTTACAGAGGAGTATCATGTTAATGAAGCTTTTTATGGCATCTGTGAAATTTGGGACCCTGTTAAATGAATTCTACTTTAAATGACTTTGAACTCTACTACTGTAGCCTTGAAAAACATTTTTGCACTCTAAAGTATATCTTGATTTGGTTGGGTTTCTCTATGAAAAAAAAAAAAACCTCACATTTTATGAGTTCTGCCAAAAGCAGTCACATGGACAAAGCTTGGCTCATGCATACTTGAATTAGTGCTCAAACCTGCTCAGTATTGCAGGTGTCTAAAATTTTTCAGTTAAAACTGCTTTTTCTTGAGTGTCCTGGTGGGACCTTTGTGGGTTTTTTGGAGCTTTCCCTGTCCCTTCATCACTGACATAGCTGGCCAAGATAATCCTGGGTCTTGCAGCTGTGTACTGTGGACAAGCTCTGCTTTAAGTCACGTGTCCATTCCTCCCATGCACGTGACAAACATAAGCAACAAAGGCAGAAAAGCTCATGTTTGTGTTTAGAAAATGTGTTTTGCTTTAGGTAATGGGTATAACATCTATATTATAATTTTAAGGTTAAAAAAACTCCACTGGGTCTGTGCTTTGTCCTGGATTTACCTAGGCTATTCATTAACATCACATGTAATTTTAATATAATTTAAGCAAACGTAGCTGGCTGGCTTAGATTTAAATTAATATCAGCTCAGCATGAAACATGTTGGACTTATGTCTTGTTGAATTTTTTTCTAGCTGGGACTTTTTATCTGCTTTTTTCCTCTTAAATTAGTATGTTTAGGGAACTGCCTCTCTATTGGAGTTATAGCATGGCTATCACATTCCTTCACTCTGGAGAAGGAGAAAAGCAAAACAGAGGTTGCAAGATGTATTTTGTTAAAAGAATAGCGAACACACAAAACAGCAGCAAAACCCCCAAGCAAACAAATAAAACCCCCCCATACCCTCCAAATAAACACAAAAATCCTAAATCATGTCTCATTTCAGAGGAGACTGACTTAAGAAGTGGACAGAAACTCCATCTGAAACAATTTTGATTTTGATTTTTGTGGTTATTTAATAACTGTTTCTTGATTTTGCTGTTGATAATGGAGGCTGAGCTTGGTTTCCTCTGTGAATGCACAAAGCTGCTGCAGTTGTCCTCTGTTTCTTTTATTTGTTTTCACTCTGCCTACAGCATTCCCCTGTCCCTCTACTTTTAAATGTTTCCTCTAACGGCTTCGTAAAATTAGCTTTAATAGTGATTGACATTGGCTTTATTGTCTCTTTAAGGATTGACTCTTGTCTAGCTCTATGGCTTACTCTTCAGGAAAATGTTTTTATTGTCTTTATTATTAAAGACTTGAATTTCTAGCTATTTTACAGCTTTTTGATACAAAATAAGAACATAGATGCTAATATTCTGAGCCCTATTGTTACATTATGAAATGTTTTAGATTCTTTAGTAAAGTAAACTTCTGAAATCAAATTGCATTGGCTTCTTCAGCTATCTTTTTGGTTATCAGCTAGCAGCAATTACCGGCACTGCTTTGGTTATGTCTGTATTGAAATCAAGAATGCAATTCTCACTTCTTTTATCAGCTTATACTTTAACTAACATACAAATTTCCAATGTCCCTTGATTAAATTGTATTTACACCTAACATGCAGAGCTTACATGCTTCTTTTTCATGAGCAGAAGACTGAATTGTCTTCTTGAGCTTAGTAGTGAAACTGGGTTCATCAAAGCTCTGAACTCTAAAAAGCAGGGAAGTTACACCTGATGCAATGCCTTTAATTTGGTTGATGCTATAGAGGTAGCATGATGGTTACACTCTGCAATCAATTTAGATTGCCACCAAAGTTTTACAGAGTGTGAGGGGTTTTTTCCTTCTGTAACACGCTAGGAGCAAATAGTGAGATCACTGATAACATTGCATGTGTTTTTGAATATTTGTCCTCTCAGTCAATCACCAACATAATTTCAGGCTATAGAATTACCTTTCATATGGATTTGTGTCAATGTATCAAGAATTTTTGTCCAGGAAAACAAGGTGGTCTGGCATCACTCATCTTTATTTACCAAATGCTATTGCTGTAACCACTATCACACTGATTAGGACTTAATTCCCTTTAATCAGCAGTGCTGTCTTAAACATGGCAGAAACAGCAGTTGTAGCTCACAACAGGGCTTAAAATGGGGCTTGTGTGTGCATAAGAATTCTGGGATTTTTTTGTAGCTTGTGGTCATTCAGCTGGATAAATGTGGAACCATTTAAGTACCAAGTGTTGTTTTGGTCCTTGCTGGCGAATGAAGCTTAGGGAAAGAGAAGCTGTTTGAGTGAAGTAATGAGTTATATAGCTCAAAGACAGCAGAGGTTCATGGTGTTCAGAGATGAATGGGATTCCTATACAGTGCTTTTAGCTTTCATAGGAATTCCAGATTTAGGCTCGTAGTTACAAATAATTTAATTTTTTGTGAGTAGAGTGGTGGTTGTTGACTATATGTAAACTACACAATTCAACTCTAAAATGTCTCAGAGAACTTAGGGATTGGTGTTAGGATTTTGGACAGCCTCATACTTCAGCAGAAGAGTATTGCTTGTGTCTCTGTACCATGTAAATTTTATGCTTTTAGGAAATTGCATTGACTGGGCAGCTTAAGTGCTTCCTGCCTTTCAGGATTCTGAAATTCCACTGTGCCAAAGGAGTCCTGAGGCAGTAGCTACTTTGGAAACTGATTTTTAAAAAGACTGTGTTTGGAGGATAATATTATATGCTCCTCAAGCTGTCCTGCTCTTCTCTTTAGTTGGTGCTTCTCTAGGAGGCATTCTTCTTATGCTTTTGTTCTAATCTCTTTCTTTACAACATGAAAGAAAATCCTCTGTTTCATGTGTTCCAGGAGTTCCTTTCATCTTTCAAAGTGATGTTCCTTACTTTGTGATGTAATTGCCTATATGAGCTTGCTTTTGAGCTGTAAAACTAAGTATTGTTTTTGTTGGCAGGGTTATAATGTTTGACATTTACCACATGCCATTGATTGGTAACAGAAATGAAGTAAATAACTGAATGTTTTCTTCTCTCATTTTTCTGTTTCTCACAGGTTCATTGCTAAACCATGTGCCTTAGGCCTTAAAGTCCAAGCCAATGGACCACAGAAAGCTCAACCTAATGCTATCTTGGAGAAGGTTTTCACAGCTATTACAAAGGTACTGTGTCTGACTAAAATATTTACCTTGTGAAGTGGTTTGTGGCACTGTAAACTATGTCTGAACAAAGCAAGGCTAACAGATGCAGCACTGCATTTTTGCACCTCAAATCAGAAATTTAGATATTGGGGATGTCATTAATGCCAGCTTGCGTGGTTGTGTATCCCTTTATGATGTCTCCTGTAAGTTTTCAATAAAAAATTGTCACAGAAACTTTGTAGATGCCATATGGCCACCTACATTTTTTTGCTTCTGATCTGTTTTTGCTTCTTACCTATTTTGTATCAATTTTTGCAAAATTGTTGGGGTTTTTAGAAAACAAGGGTTCATTGTAAGCCAGTAATATTGATACCAAGTTTTCCATGAAACTTCAAAGCTATCCCTTCTAGGGAAAGGCCTGTTTTGCTGCTGTCCTAGCTAAAGGAGAACAACATAGAAAAGTGGGGAGAAACTGACTGAAAAATGTTTTATTTGCAGCTTGCATATTTTTCTTGTACAAGATTTTCCCCCCCACAACTTACGTATCTGTCTCTACATCTCTCACCTTATGACATCTCAACCTGTTTGTTGTTCTGTCCATGCTTTTCAAGCATCCCAAATTTTTCTGCAGGAGCTTTGCATTCCCACCTTGGCTCCAGACTGCAGCTGGGCAGCAGTGTAAACAGAGAGTATTAAAGTCATAGAGGACAAAACTGGGTTCAGTGTCACAGACAGTGAAATAGGCTGTGGATCTGTCTTGCTTGTGTGTCCTACACTACCCAGAGATCACCATGGCACTTGCTGTGAGTTTTGTCCTGTTTTTAGGGAGGGAATTGTGTGTGCCTAGCTTCTGAAAGCTTCAGGATATACTCTCATACAGACTCTGCTGAAGGAAGAATGGTTAGGTTTTGTTAGTTGTGCGTTTGTTTGTTTGTTTGTTTGTTTTTAATATTTTGTCATAAAAACTGGTAGTCTGACACAGGGCCTGAAATACCTGTGACTGTGAAGAGCTCCAAACAAAAGTATCTGCTTTCCTGCAAGAATCTGGTAGCTGCTCTCAGAGAAGGTGTCCCATTTAGCTCCCTGCCTTTTTTGAATCCTATACAGCAGTTCTCTCTAGTCAAACTCCCAAGAGCTGCATCAAACATTTCATTTTTCTAAGGTTACGGAAATTGCTTTTCTTAACCTTCCATTGAAAAACTAGTAGATACTTTGGTAGACTATAAAACTTTATTGAGATGGATGCCAAATTCATCCAACTTCAACCTTCTCTTGTCTCATCCTTTCATTTCTCTATTTTTCCTGTGTTTTCTTGGAGGCTGATAGACAAAATTTCAGCCTAACAGAAGTCTTGCACGTCCGTGTCTTGCAACAGTTAAAAATTTAAGGCTCTTTTTTGTAAGAGCTCTTGTACTTCATTCAATATATGTAACTGATTTGTAGAAATAAAGCTAAAGTTCCAGAAAACAGATTGTGCATTTTTCTGTTTATTTAAAAAAAACTATGTGATCAGGAGAAATACATAAGAAGTACATATGCTTCACTGTACATGTAGAATTGCTCTATGATTGGAGATTTTTCCTGTACTGCTCTTCAAATTAAAGACAAACTAATTTTCTTTTGCCTTACCTCTGCACTGGTTTGCACCCACACTAATGGTGTGAGTCTTCTACATTTTCTGCTTTGGAGAATATTTGTGTGTATTTAGTTTTACAGAAAACAATTCCAGAAAATGTCTCCCTGTTGTCAAGGTGATTTGCCTTTTGAAGTTGCTACTTTGTTTAGCGACCTCATTTTTTAACATTATTGTGCAGAAACATGGGATTTATCTTCTTTGTGTGTCAGTCAAACCATCTTCCCTAGTGCAAGAGTCCATAGGACAAAGATCCTGATGTAGGAGAGTGGAACAGGTACTAGGACAAATGTCCTGATGTAGGAGAGTGGAGCAGGTATTAGTGTGTGGCAGGCAGTGGAGTGTTTGTAAGAGCCACTGCTCCAGAAATGCATGGCATTTTATGGCTGCTAAATTTCACTTCCAAGTCTCAAGCAAGTTTCAATCCCATTGTCCCTTTAAAGTTTTTTATCAGTAATGGATCTGCACATCACGTTACAGCATCTGTCCTTCTAGATTAATTGTCATTGTAAATGTATTCTGACGGGAATCTGCCAGTAGAGATTTCTGTGAATTTATTTCTGTGTATCCATGTGTCTGACTGACAGCCTTGGTAAGAAGGCTAGAGTCAATTTCAGTGGTTCTGAATTTAAAGTGCTAATGCAGTTGAGCTAGAAAATAATTTTTGTGCTTCTCTGTTTTGTAGCATCCAGATGAGAAGAGGCTGGAAGGGCTCTCCAAGCAGCTGGACTGGGATGTGCGCAGCATTCAGCGTTGGTTCCGACAAAGGCGCAACCAGGAGAAGCCCAGCACCCTTAGGAAGTTCTGTGAGAGCATGTAAGGATGCATGTTCTCTTCTTGTGTCTTGTTGAGCCTGTGTTCTCATCAGTTTTCCCCTTTGTTTTTCACAGGTACTTTTGCAGACAATTAGAAAATTATACAAATTGGTAGAATATAACTAATGAGAAAAATAATCTTCATTTTCCTGAAGGAGTCAGATTGTACTTTTCAGGGATTTTCAGTGGTCAAAAGCTTGCAGAAATCATGTTGCTGTGATTCTATACTATCAGGGCACCAGCTAATACCAAATCACCTGATGTTAGTGTGCTGTCCTTACAGCACTACCTTTAGCCATACAAGCTGATGCACATGTGAAATGGAGGAACAAAGATAAAAGGCAGTTGGGTTGTTAAATAAAAAGAAGACAGAAGATAAATTGTCTAAAGATGACTGCCCTTTATTAAACAGAATAACTTAGGTGTCAGAATGCTTAAGTCTGTTCTTTGGTATTTACAGCTAAAATCCTCCTTCCTTAATGTTTAATAAATCAAGGCATGATGAGATTATGACAAAATGGCTTGGTCATTTTGTTGCCAGCAGCTGCTGGCCTAAGAGTTACTAATTTTTGAGATCAGTGAAGAACAATCTTTTTTCTGCAAGAGTTGTAGTTAACTTGTCAGCTGTGGAGTCTTGGGAAAAAGTATTGCTTTATTAGTCTTAGAGGTAGCATATTTGGGTGGCATATTTTGCTTCCTCTGTAACTCAGCTCAAAGACCTCGCTCTCTTGCACTGGTGCCAGGGCACCTGGGTGAACCTACAGATAGAAAAATTTAAGCATACCATGAAGTACTGGCATGGATAGGGTAGTAATAGGTGCTGAATTTGTGGCATGCATTATCAAAATGGGATGCAAATGGCAGCTATGAGTGCAGACTGGAAGGTAAGGTCAAGCTGTAGTGAAGTGCTGACAGAATATAGTGCCAGCTTTGTTTAGGGGGAGCTATTGGCATTTCTGCAATATGCGTATTTAACAGTCATGATAAAACTTGTCCAAACAGAAGCGAGATGGCATAAATAATAGGTCAATACTTCAGGTTCTCTCTGTTCATGGTTTGCAGGAGGTGCAGTAAGAGCTGCCTCTCTATTTCTGTGCTACCTAGTGCTGTGGGAATGTGGTGTTATCCAACCCAACTGTGTGTGCCTTGCCCTAGGAGCATTTCCAGTGGTGGACTGTGTGCCACCAGCTGACCTGACACATCTTGGACAAAGTTGTTGGCATGTAGTCAGACTACTGCGGGGAGCCCAGGGTTCCCTTTTATCCCTTCAGTATGGGTTCAGTTAAAGTGTGGTTTAGTTAAATATGTCCATCAGAGTGCTAAGCAAGGTACTTCAGAAAGTTTTGACCAAAGAAATCCTTTGGTATGGAGTCTGTAGCCTTTTCATAGCTATTGAGTTAATGGGGTGGCTTTTGAGAGATGTAGTGACTGTGTGTGACAGGTGCTTTGAAGCTCTGAGCTCCTGAAGTTCATGTTCCCACAGCAGTCATGGGAAGGGGAGCACTCCAGTCTTCAGTAATTCAGGTGCCAGTGGAGAGTTTCGACAGAACAAAGTGTGCCCTTATCTCATAAGCAAGAGCAGAGCAAGCAGAATGACAGTGATCTCTGCCTACACCTTCATCCTGCTGAGCTGCTGTTGTCCCTCCAGAGAAGGCTTCAGTTTTCCTGGGAACAGCACTGATTGACTGTGGCGTGGGAAGGAAAGTGAGAGAACCCACGGCAAATGTGGATCTGCCTAAAAAGAACTCCAACTCTTTTCACATGGAGACGATTTAATTTACTGCTAGACAAAGTGTTCCTTGGGCCCAGAGTGGCTTTTCCATGATGAAAGGGAAGAGGAGCTGTGCCAGAAGGGCTGTAGGCCATTTTTGACTGCTTTATCTTGCTTGCAAATGAATAGCGTGGGCACTATCTAAGGTAGAGTAGCTTCAATGTGACAAAAGCTGAGAGTGAAATTTAATGATAAACACACTTGCCTGAGATGAATGATGCCAAAGACCCAGCCCCAAACACTCTATGCCAGTAACTTCATTACTAGGTTCTTATTGTCACAGATTTCTCACTTTCTCTAACCCTTCCCTTCTTTTCAAACAATTACAATTCTGATCATTAACAGAGTGCAGAGAAACCCCAAAACCTACACTGCTCGCTGCTTCTTGAGGGGGAAGGGGTGTTTGGTGGGTTTTTTAGTTTTGTTTTGTTTCTGTTTTGTTTGTTTGTTTTTGTAGGTTTTTGTTGTTTTGTTCTGTGGGTTTTTGGGTTTTTTTTTGTTTTGTTGTGTTTTGTGGTTTGTTTGTGCGTTTGTTTGGTTTGGGGGTTTTTGTTTGTTTTTGTTTTGTGGGGAGTGTTTTTGTTTTGTTTTGTGGGGAGTATTTTTTGGTGATTTTGTTGGTTTGACTGGAGTAATTCCTTTGCTGCCAGTCTTTGTCAGATATTCAGGCCATGGGCAGATGATGGTTATATGAAGAAAACCACAGTAGTAAAATCTCCTGTTTATTGATACTGTTTGTGTCACAGCATTATAGTGAAAATAAATTACTTTTTCAGGAACCTTTCATAGCCAGTATTCACGCCATAGAGTTTTGTCTGTCAATGTGGAAGAGAAGGTGTAATTTGATTTTTGGAGCCATAGAGACCCTAATGGTGAGACCCTAGTGGTGTTACATACCTGCTTAAGCTTAAGATGTTATGGTGATAAGTATTTGTATGAAATATGAAATAGATAACTTCACTAGGTGGTGATTAATGTATATAATCACCAGGTGGTGATTAATGATCCAGTCAGAAAGTAATAAATGCAGCACTGAGTATTATTTTACTAGCAAGTCAGTCCTCGTATCCCAAGGATTAGGTGATTCTGGCATGAAACCTGGAGTTCAAGTCACAGTTTGTAGTCACTAGGAAAGGTATCCACCTAGTATAACCTCAGATTGCAAAGCTCAGGCACTTAGCCCACTATATTAGTTGCAGAGAATAGTCTATCCATAGCTTTTCTTTCTGTTTTTTGAATTTAGACCATTTGCACTCCTTTCTTCAACTTGAAAGTCCAACAACCGTAAAGGAGGGGAAAAAAAGTGGTCAACTAAGTGTGCAAAATGAACTTTTCTACTTCCATGTATTTCTGCTGGGCTTTTATTATTCTTTTCTCTCTGTCCCTATGGCACAGCCTAAATCAAGAATATTACTTTGCTTATTGCCACACAGAATACAAAATCCAATAATGTCTTTGTTAATGTTTGATGTGTCAGAAAGCCAATGCAGGAGTGATTCCCAAACCACTTCCAGTGTCTTCCCAGTTTCCATGTGTTGTTTCTGCTCATAGTACCAGTGTGTAGGCATGTCTGGTTTTCTCAAAGAGAGAGCATTCTGTCCTCTCCCCTTGTTGTCTGGCACAAAGGGAGAGAACCTGTGATGCTAGAAGTTACTAGCCTGGGATTTTGGAATGTCATCAGGCCGATGGCTTGTCTGTCCTACAGCTATGTACATTTAAGCAAGCTGCTTATTAGAGATATTTATGTGGTTTCTAAGGAGTGTCTGGAAGAAACATATGGCCAAGAGAGATGTTTTGAGTTTATGCAACATTCTGCATGTGAAAACATGGAAATGTGCAGACAGAAGAGCCAAAGATCTATTTTTTCCTCCCCTTTATTCTCTAGAAGAAGCTTGGATACTAAATTGTCTGTAAGTAGGGTGTCTTTTAGTTTTGATGTAGAGGAGAGAAGAGCCTCTGTCTTGTATCCTAGCTAGATATTGTTTTTCCTAAGGAATTGAAATTTTGTTTATGCACATTTTGTTGTTGCTTTGGAGGAAGATTTTATCTGGCTGTGCCTGTATATGAGTGTGTGTGTGTGTGCACATGTATGTGTATAGATGTAGAGGAATACCAATTGGGGTTTTTTTTGCTTGTTATACACGTTTGTGTGAAAATTCTGTGGGCTGTTAGCAACTTCTTGGGTTTACTGCTGTTCTCAACTAGCAGAGTAATTCTGTCCTACAAAATTGTACTGGAAAAATAACTGTGAAAGGGATAGAAATGAAGACAGCTGTTTGGTTGTTGAAATTCTGAACTGTGCTGATGCACATGATAACAGAATGTGCGAAAGAATTCATCAGTCTGTGCTCTGTGTTGAGCAGTAAAGCATTAGAAAATAAATAGGCTTTTAGCTCTGAGTATTTAATAGCATCAGGCTCTCCTAAGCCAGCTTCTAACACACTTCTGATCTGAGGAAAAATTTGTGGTAGGTGGTACTTTGAGTCCATTTAATTTTGATTTGTCAACTGCTCCAGTGCTAGATGGAATGAAGGACTAACCAGTGTTTCATGAAAACTGTTTTTCATGAAACTGTGTTTCAGTGTCCTAGAAAAGCAAAGAGGGGATGAGTCTGTCAAGACCCACAAAGTGCTCTGCAGCAAATGTGGTTGTTACTCTTCAGTGGCCACAGAACTGCACTATCTCCCTTGTTTTCCTTTGCTGTTTTCCATGGAATGGGAGTTGCTGTTACTTGGGCAATCAGATATTTGGTATTGTGTTGATAAGTGGATTACGACATGAGGGGCAAGTAGGTTCAGGCGTTGGCAGAGTCACATTTGTGAGGCAGCTTTTTGGATGAAGGATGTAGGTGTTCAATGAAACGTGAAGGGAGTTGGAGCCTGTGAAATTGTTCCAGAACAGGGAATGTGTGTGTTTGCTGAGTGCAAGAGGTGTTTATTATGGCTTCAGGTGGTAGGGGAGTTGAGAAAGGAGACTCTTAATTGCTAGTAAGTGGTAACTGAAGTGCAGAGTAACAAAGATGATCTGGCAATTTTTATCTGCACTAAGCATGTAAAATACTGCCTTTTTACAATAGTACTGTAAGAGTTGCATTTAGACTCTGGAGTTAATACATTCAAGGACCTATTACTCTCTTAAAAGAATCATGTCTAGTAACATCACTGAAGAGAGATGTGCTTGAATGCAAGGCCTCTGTAGAAAGTAAAAGTGAATGAGGCATTGATACTGAG